TCTCCCATATGCAGAAGCTAGATCTAAAATACATGATAAATTATACTGGACTAGCTGGGCGCCGGTGGCTCACGTCTGTCATTCTAGCTACTCAGGAGGCTGAGATCTGAGGATCATGGTTCAAAGCCAGCCCAGGCAAGGAAAGTCCATGAGACTCTTATCTCCAATAAACCACTAGAAAGCCGAAAGTGGCACTGTGGCTCAAGCGGTAGAGCGCTCACCTAGAGCTGAAGAGCTGAGGGACAGCGCCCAAGCCCAGGGTTCAAGCCCCAGGACCGACCAAAAAAAAAAAATTATACAGGACTTTAGGCATTCACATACAGGGAAAACAAAGGAGGATATTCTTAGGGTAGGAACATAGAAATGGATCAAAATGAATTCCAGGAAATGAAAATGAGAGGGTTCTGTTTTGTCATTTGTTCCTTTCTCTCTCTCTCTCTCTCTGTGTATCAGTCGATCAGTCGTGGGCCCTGAACTCTGGGCCTGGGCGCTGTCCCTCAGCTCTTCAGCTCAAGGCTAGCACTCTACCACTTGAGCCACAGCCCCACTTCTGTCTTTTTCTGCTTATGTGGTGCTGAGGAATCAAACCCAGGGCCTCCTGCATGCAAGGCAAGTGCTCTACCACTGAGCCACCTTCCCAGCCCCACTCCTCCCCCCTTTCCCTGTCTTTAGTGATGGAATCTGCTTTGTTCTCATAACTTGGTGTCAACCCCAAGGACCCGCTGACCACCCTCCTCCGGGACCGCTCCTGCTTCCCAGACAAACTTCACCCTGACCTTATCTGAAAGTGCAGGACTGCCACAAAACCCCACACAGGACAGTTTCCACCGTCAACCCCCACAAGGACAGAACAAAGGAACTCTGAAGAAGAGTCTCACCCTAGAATAGATAAAAACCTGATACCCCCCTAGTGTTCCACACAGCCCTCCACAGCCACAACTGCAGCTTGTTCTGTTCAGGTCTCTCTTGCTTCCGTCTCCCCTTCTGTCCACTTGATCTTTCCTAACACTCATGACTCCGTTTCCTAACAGGGAGGGCAGGGGGAGGCACAGAATGGAGGGACAGAGGGTGAACACATGCAGCAGTGGCACTCACGAGACACTGTGGGAAACGAACCCGACTCGTGGGTGGGCAAGGGAGGAAAAACTGGGAGAGAGCAAGGGAAGGGTGACAATGTCCAGGAAGAAATGTATTCAGGGGGCTGGGAAGGTGGCTCAGTGGTAGAGCGCTTGCCTTGCATGCATGAGGCTCTGGGTTCAATTCCCCAGCACCACATAAGCAAAAAGAAAAAAGCCGGAAGTGGCGCTGTGGTTCAAGTGGTAGAGCGCTAGCTTTGAGCTGAAGAGCTGAGGGACAGCGCCCAGGTCCAGAGTTCAAGCCCCACAACTGGACCCCCCCCCAAAAAAAAAGCAAAAAGAAATGCATTCAAAACTGGATGTTGGGGCTGGGAAGGTGGCTCAGTGGTAGAGCGCTTGCCTTGCATGCATGAGGCCCTGGGTTCAATTCCTCAGCACTACATTAGCAGAAAAAGCCTGAAGTGGTGCTGTGGCTTAAGTGGTAGAGCACTAGCCTTGAGCTGAAGAGCTGAGGGACAGCGCCCAGGCTGAGTTCAGGCCCCACAATCGACAAAAAGAAAAAAAAAGCTGGGCGCCGGTGGCTCACATCTGTAATCCTAGCTATTCAGGAGGCTGAGATCTGAAGATTGAGGTTCAAAGCCAGCTCGGGCAGGAATGCCTGGGAGACTCTGTTTTTTTGGGGTCCGGTCATGGGGCCTGAACTCTGGGCCTGGACGCTGTCCCTCAGCTCTTCAGCTCAAGGCTAGCACTCTACCACTTGAGCCACAGCACCACTTCTGGCTTTTGTTTTTTTCTGCTTATGTGGTACTGAGGAATCGAACTCGGCCTCATGAATGCAAGGCAAGTGCTCTACCACTGAGCCACCTTCCCAGACCAAATAATTTTTTTTTTTTTGTCAGTCTTGGCCCTTGAACTCTGGGCCTGGGCACTATCCTTTAGCTCTTCTGCTCAGTGCTAATGCTATACCACCTAAGCTACAGCGCCACTTCCTGGGAGACTCTTATCTCCAATAAACCATTAGAAAACTGGAAGTGGCGCCGTGGCTCAAGCAGTAGAGTGCTAGCCTTGAGCAAAAGAGCTGGGGTACAGCACCCAGGCTCTGAGTTCAAGCCCCATGAATGATTAAAAAAAAAAAAAAAAAGTACCGGGTTGGAAAGGTGGCTCGTTGGTGGAGCACTTGCCTTGCATGCATGAGACCCTGGGTTCAATTCCTCAGCACCACATAAGCAGAAAAAGGCAGAAGTGGCGCTGTGGCTCAAGTGGTAGAGCGCTAGCCTTGAGCTGAAGAGCTGAGGGACAGCGCCCAGGCCCAGAGTTCAGGCCCCACAACTGGACCCCCCCCCCCCCAAAAAAAAAAAGCAAAAAGAAATGCATTCAAAACTGGATGTTGGGGCTGGGAAGGTGGCTCAGTGGTAGAGCGCTTGCCTTGCATGCATGAGGCCCTGGGTTCAATTCCTCAGCACTACATTAGCAGAAAAAGCCTGAAGTGGTGCTGTGGCTTAAGTGGTAGAGCACTAGCCTTGAGCTGAAGAGCTGAGGGACAGCGCCCAGGCTGAGTTCAGGCCCCACAATCGACAAAAAGAAAAAAAAAGCTGGGCGCCGGTGGCTCACATCTGTAATCCTAGCTATTCAGGAGGCTGAGATCTGAAGATTGAGGTTCAAAGCCAGCTCGGGCAGGAATGCCTGGGAGACTCTGTTTTTTTGGGGTCCGGTCATGGGGCCTGAACTCTGGGCCTGGACGCTGTCCCTCAGCTCTTCAGCTCAAGGCTAGCACTCTACCACTTGAGCCACAGCACCACTTCTGGCTTTTGTTTTTTTCTGCTTATGTGGTACTGAGGAATCGAACTCGGCCTCATGAATGCAAGGCAAGTGCTCTACCACTGAGCCACCTTCCCAGACCAAATAATTTTTTTTTTTTTGTCAGTCTTGGCCCTTGAACTCTGGGCCTGGGCACTATCCCTTAGCTCTTCTGCTCAGTGCTAATGCTATACCACCTAAGCTACAGCGCCACTTCCTGGGAGACTCTTATCTCCAATAAACCATTAGAAAACTGGAAGTGGCGCCGTGGCTCAAGCAGTAGAGTGCTAGCCTTGAGCAAAAGAGCTGGGGTACAGCACCCAGGCTCTGAGTTCAAGCCCCATGAATGATTAAAAAAAAAAAAAAAAAGTACCGGGTTGGAAAGGTGGCTCGTTGGTGGAGCACTTGCCTTGCATGCATGAGACCCTGGGTTCAATTCCTCAGCACCACATAAGCAGAAAAAGGCAGAAGTGGCGCTGTGGCTCAAGTGGTAGAGCACTAGCCTTGAGCTGAAGAGCTGAGGGACAGCGCCCAGGCCCAGAGTTCAAGCCCCACAACTGGACCCCCCCCCCCCAAAAAAAAAGAAAAAAGAAATGCATTCAAAACTGGATGTTGGGGCTGGGAAGGTGGCTCAGTGGTAGAGCGCTTGCCTTGCATGCATGAGGCCCTGGGTTCAATTCCTCAGCACTACATTAGCAGAAAAAGCCTGAAGTGGTGCTGTGGCTTAAGTGGTAGAGCACTAGCCTTGAGCTGAAGAGCTGAGGGACAGCGCCCAGGCTGAGTTCAGGCCCCACAATCGACAAAAAGAAAAAAAAAGCTGGGTGCCGGTGGCTCACATCTGTAATCCTAGCTATTCAGGAGGCTGAGATCTGAAGATTGAGGTTCAAAGCCAGCTCGGGCAGGAATGCCTGGGAGACTCTGTTTTTTTGGGGTCCGGTCATGGGGCCTGAACTCTGGGCCTGGACGCTGTCCCTCAGCTCTTCAGCTCAAGGCTAGCACTCTACCACTTGAGCCACAGCACCACTTCTGGCTTTTGTTTTTTTCTGCTTATGTGGTACTGAGGAATCAAACTCGGCCTCATGAATGCAAGGCAAGTGCTCTACCACTGAGCCACCTTCCCAGACCAAATAATTTTTTTTTTTTTTGTCAGTCTTGGCCCTTGAACTCTGGGCCTGGGCACTATCCCTTAGCTCTTCTGCTCAGTGCTAATGCTATACCACCTAAGCTACAGCGCCACTTCCTGGGAGACTCTTATCTCCAATAAACCATTAGAAAACTGGAAGTGGCGCCGTGGCTCAAGCAGTAGAGTGCTAGCCTTGAGCAAAAGAGCTGGGGTACAGCACCCAGGCTCTGAGTTCAAGCCCCATGAATGATTAAAAAAAAAAAAAAAAAGTACCGGGTTGGAAAGGTGGCTCGTTGGTGGAGCACTTGCCTTGCATGCATGAGACCCTGGGTTCAATTCCTCAGCACCACATAAGCAGAAAAAGGCAGAAGTGGCGCTGTGGCTCAAGTGGTAGAGCGCTAGCCTTGAGCTGAAAAGCTGAAAAGCTGAAGGACAGCGCCCAGGCCCAGAGTTTAGGCCCCACAAATGACAAAAAAGAAAAAAAGTGCCAATTAACCGACTTATGTAACTATTACCCCTCTGTACATCACTTTTTTAACAACTAAAAAATTTAAAAAATACCCATTATCAGGTAGTTAATAAGAAATAAACTGATTGTCAGGTAAGAAAGCAGAGGATCCGGGAGCAAGGGAGGAGAAAAAGTGGGAGAAATGAGGGAGGGGGTGACACTGTTGAAAAAGAAATGTGCTTGTGACCTGGCTTCCGCAACTCTAGCCCCTCGGTGCATCGCCTTTACAATAAAATTTAAATTACAAAGAAAAGCAGAGGCTCACAGAAGCGAGACCTGACAGCGAGATGAGCCCACGCTTGCTGGGAGAGGGGGGGTCCCAGTCCCCCAAACAGAAGACTGTGGTAGGAACCGGCTACCTCTCCCAGGGTCTTTCCCTGGCTTTAGGAGTCAACTGACAGGAAAATGGCTGCCCTCTATAAAGACTACATTTCCCAGTGGCCCTTGCAGCAGAGGGTGGGGAAACCATGCCTGTTCTCATCCAATGAGATGTGAGTAAAACAATGAACTTCCCTTTACTGGGGGGAAGGTGAAGCGCGGGATTGTTAGATGGGATCCGGAAGGGCGCGGCCTAGAAGAAACGCTCAATAAATATTTATTACAATAAAATATCCAAGTTGCTCTGGGTAAACAGGCACCGCACCCTGGGTAGCATTTCTCTCTGCCAGTGTGTGTGTGTGTGGCTGGAATGCAGGTCAGTCTCCCAGGCCCCGGCCTGATCAGTCGTGGTCATTTGGTCTGTCTGCTTCTTGGGGTGACGTGTCATCTTGGGGTGCTGGGGCCCCCCTCTGGTTCCACATGTGGTTGTTGAGCCCCAGTTGCACCATCTGAGCGTGCTGGATGATGAGAGGCTGTGATCCGGGGGTCTGAGGAGGCACTGTGGGCGTTGGTGGGGAAGTGGGGGGCTGAGGAAAGGAAGGGGGCTGCGGGAAGGCCGGTGGTAGGGTGCCAGCCTGCCAGGCGTATGATGGTGTCTGTGGAGAGCCTGGCCAGGTAGAAAAGGGGGGCACCTGGCCCCCCAAAGGCACTCGAAGGGGCTGACTTGTCTGAGTCCCCAGCACCAGGCCGCTCCTCAAAGCCTCCTGGAGCGCGTGGATCTGGGGCTGGGAGGCGCCCCAGGCCCCCAGGCTGGCCGTGGGGTAGGTGGCGTGGCCGGGGGGCTGCGGGCGCAGGGCCCGGGCCTGCTGCTCCTGGGCCCAGTGCGCGCGGCGCGCCAGCAGCCGCTGCGGGGCGAAGGTGTTGGCCACCTTCCTGGCGAAGATGGCGGAGCGCTCGTCCAGCCGCACCAGGCCGGCCAGCAGGCTGGTGGTGTCGGGGCCCAGCTGTGCCTCGGAGCTCTCGATGGGCAGGAAGGGGACCACGCAGTCCTGGCGGCCCCGCTGCGTGAGGCTGCTCATGAGCGCCTGGTTCAGCTGGTGCAGCCCCAGCTGGCTGTCGAAGGCGGCCGTGAGCAGCAGGATGATGAAGCCGGAGTGGTCGATGGCGTCCTGGAGACAGCGCAGCTCGCCGCGGCCAGGCACCTGGAAATCCTCACAGAACGTGGCCCCCTCGGGCACCCCCAGGGCCTCCAGCCGCTCCCGGACACGCAGGGCCACGTGCTCGTCCGCTCTGGTGTGCAGAATCACGAAGTTGTAGAACTTTTGTCCTGTCGTGTCTGCGTGGAAGGCTGAAGAGGACGACACTGGCGGGAAGGAGGCCCAGGAGGAGGAGGCCGGAGGGAAGGAGGCCGGGGAAGAGGAGGCCAGAGGGACGGTGGCTGAGGAAGAGGAGGCTGGAGGTAAGTTGGCAGAGGAGGATGGAGGGAAGGAGGCTGAGGAGGCTTGAGGACCAGAAGTCAATGGGGGGACAGGAGTAGGAGGTGGGGCTGGGGGGAAGGAGGAGGCTGCTGGGCAGGGCTGGGCATTGGTCCTGGTGGCATCTCCAGGACTCCGGAGGGTTGTGTGATCTTCACCAGGGCAAGGATTTTCCGTGGGGTCCAAGCTGGCCGAGAGGAGCAACGGGGGATCCCGACACACCCCAGTCCTCTCTAACGAGCCCTGGGAGCCCCCATCTGGAGGTACGGTGGAGTTAGATGAGACGGAAGCCAGGGCCAGCTCGGGGTGCCCTGGGCCGGGGTGCAGCTGGTCGCGGTCCAGGGGCTCCGCAGAGGAGGGCCAGCTCACCTCCTCCGGCTCCTGGCGGCCCCTGGGTGCACACGGGGGCTTTGGGCCCAGCTTGCTGGGCCCGTGGGTGGCGCGGTGTGGGCTCAGGAAGGGCAGCGTGGGGGACTGGCTGATCTCCAGCTCGGCGCCCAAGGAGCCGGGGCTGCCGCTGGAGCGCAGGGAGCAGGCGCGGCTCCAGCCGGCCAGCGCGCTGATGGGCCAGGGCTGGCTGCGGGCCGCCGAGGGCGGCGGTGAGGCGGGGGGCAGGTCACCCCGGTCGGATCGGAGCGGCTGGAAGCCCCCCGCGTCGGCCGTCGCGGCCCCCCCGCACCGGGCCTGGGCCTCGCCGCGGAGCTGGTCCAGCCGGCGGTCACCCTGGGCGTCCAGCACGCGGAGGGCCGCCGCGTAGGCCGCGTCCCGCGCAGACTCCGGGCACAGCTTCTCCTTGGCCAGGAGGTGATACAAGCGAGCCACGGCCCACGACACATCCGGGGTCTCCTCCGTGGCCCGGATGCCGTCCACGCTGACCCACACGCCAGCCACCCGCCGGGCAGCCGCCTCGTCCCCACCCAGCGCCAGCGCCACCATGGCGCGCAGGAGCTCGGCCTCCGGGCCGCCGGGCCCGGGCGTCCTCAGCTTCTGCTGCAGGCCGGCCAGCTTGTCCGGGCTGGCAGTTTCCAGAACCTGCAGGACACCGGCGAGGGATGGGCCCGGGCCGGACATGGGTGAGGGAGGAAGCCACGGCACGCAGCCGGGACGCGCGGAGGCATGATCCACGCCCCGCCTTCTGCCCGCTTCTGAGAGGGCGATTGGAGCAAGTGCACCTGCGGGGACAGGAGGGGACAGGAGGGGACACGCTGACCTTCCCAGGGTCTCTGCCTGCCCTCCCGGGCCTTGGACAAACCAGTGTGTCACCTCCCCCACCTCCCACGGTGGTGTACAGGCGAAGCTCAGAGACATACAGTCACTCCCCCCCAAGTCACACAGCGGAGGAGTGACAGAGCCGGGATTGGAACTCAGGTCACTGGGCTCCAGGGGCTCCGGGGCTGAGCCACAAGGCCGCAGTCCCGAGGAACACAGAAGCCCTGCCCATCTATGGCCTGGTTATAAAGAACTAAGTGGTAGAAAGTTCTAAGCCTGAGTAGGGTGTCGGTGGCTCATGTCTGTAATCCCAGCTACTCAGGAGGGTGAGATCTGAGGATCACAGTTCAAGGCCAGCCCAGGCAGCAAAGTCTGTGAGACTCCTATCTTATCTCCAATAAACCACCAGAAAACTGGAAGTGGCGCTGTGGCTCAAATGGTAGAGCGCTCGCCTTGAGCTGAAGAGCTGAGGGACAGCGCCCAGGCCCAGAGTTCAAGACCTACAACCTCCAAAATCATCATCATCAGCAGCAGCAGCAGCAGCAGCATCTCAGGGGCTCTCCACTGCCACCCTTAGTCCCCAACTCTGACCGTCTCCCCCCTCCCCCGTCTCCCCACCCAGCCAACCTTCCCCCAAACACACAGTAGTAATCTTGTCCAGTGGACTTTTCTTGTGAGTTACATCTTTCCTTTTGAGTTGATTTTATATCTTTTTCTGCTGGTACTAGGGCTTGAACTCCAGGGTAATGCACTCTTGTTTTGCTTTCTTGTTCATGGCAGGCATTCTACCACTTGAATCATGCCTCCAGCCTGGCTTTTTCCTAATTAACCAAGTGGACACAGAGCTGCATGGGCTTTTCCTACCCGGATCGAATGCTCAGATCTCAGCTTCTGAGTAGCTAGGATTACAGGCCCCCCAAAAAACTATGATCTTGCCCATCTCTGCCTCCCAAGTAGCTGGGATTACAGGTGTGAACATCAGAGCTTGGTCCGTATGTTAGATCTCTGCTCATTCTCTGCTTTACGCACCAGTCGGTGAGTGACAGCAGAGGTGAGGCCCCTCTCTGACTGAACTGGGTAGTTGGGGCGCAGAATACTCCAGTCCCATCAAAACTATTTGTTGCTGGGCTCTGGTGGCTCACACCTGTAGTCCCAGCCACTGAAGAGGTTGAGGTCGGAGGAAATATATCAGACTCTTATCTCCAATGAACCACCAAAAAGCCAGAAGTGGAGCTTGTGGCTCAGGAGTAGAGAGCCACCTTGGAACACAATAACTCAGTGATGGCACCCAGGTCCTGAGTTCAAGACCCAGGATCAGCATCAAAGAAAACCCCCCAAACAAAACACCTGAAACCTACTAGTGGGGGGAGGGAAGGAAGGACTAACTTGGACATCCAGTCCTTTGGGGAGTACCACCCAGCTCATCTCTGGGTTGCAACTGGATCAGAACCCCAGGATGTCTGGCTCTGGAGTCCAGTGTCCCGTGGGCTCAGCCAGCCTTGAGTGAAAAAGCTAAAAGACAGAGCTCAGGCTCTGAGTTCAAGGCCCGAGACTAGCACAACGAACTAAATGGAAACCAACATTATTACACAACTACTAGCATTTCTTTTTTTTGCTTTTTTTGTCGGTCGTAGGGCCTGAACTCTGGGCCTGGACGCTGTCCCTCAGCTCTTCAGCTCAAGGCGAGCCCTCTACCACTTGAGCCACAGCGCCACTTCTGGAAGAGTCTCACAGACTTTCCTGCCTGGGCTGGCTTGGAACTGCGATCCTCAGATCTCAGCCTCCTGAGTAGCTAGGATGACAGGCGTGAACTACCAGGGCCTGGTTCTCTTTTCTTTTTCTTAGCAAGTTTTTTTTTTTGGGGGGGGGTCTGGGGGTTTAGCTTAGCGGAAGAGCGTCTGCCTGGCGAGCGCAAGGCCCTGAGTTCCGTCCTCAGCTCTGGGGAAAAAAAAAAAAAAGGAATTTTTCAGGGGCTGAAGTGGCAAGGTATTTGTCTGGCATGTTCACAGTCCTGAGTTCAAGCCTCAAAACCACCGGAGGGCGGGGGGGGATCTTTCAGACCTGTCAGACCTGGCGTTACCCACAGCCTTGGCCCTGGCTCCCAGCTCAGCGCCCTCCCCACGTGGAGTGGGCATTTACTGAGCACCCCACCGGGCTTGGTGAGCTGACGGGGTCCCCATGGTATCTGAACTGCTCTCAGCACAACAGGAACTGAGAAGAGAAAGTGCCAGAAGGAAGCAGCCTGGGCTGGGCTACAGAGCCTGGGGCACAGGGGGAGGGGTGGCCATGGAGGCCTCCTGGGCAGGAGGTGACCCAAGCCCCGATCTCCCAGAGGCCAAGGAGCCAGTTGGGGTGTCTGACTGTGCAAAGGTCCTGGGGCAGGATGGAGTGTGGCATGGGAGGGGCAGCAAGGCTTGTGGGGCAAGGGGCAGAGAGGGAGGAGGGCGGGCACAGGGCCCTGTGGGCTCAAGGAAAGTGGGAGCCATAAAGGGCTGTGGGAGGAGGAGGAAGAGGAGCTCTGACTTCAGTGCTGCTCCCCCCCCAGCAGAATGGGGAGCTGGGAGAACTGAGCTGGTAGACAATGACATGAGAGAGGCTAGGGGTACAGCACTTGGGGGAAAGAGGCTGGATTAGTTAGGGGATAATTTGGAGACAAGCACTGGATTTGGTCCTGAGAACCTGAGATGGTATTGGAGTGGGGGGAGGGGACCTGGTTTTTGGTCAAGAGGGAGAGTCATCCTCCTAGGCCAGTCCAGTCCTTTTTCCGCCTCTGCCCCTGGCTCCCTGGGTTCCAGCCACAGAGTATCTCCCCCTCCTCCTTCCTGGACACAGCTCCCTGTGGCCCCAGGGCCTTTGCACAGCCTTCCCTCAGCCTGAACAGCATCCTTCCCCACACATGCCCAGCCAGACTTTTCTCTTTCCAAATGCCACACTTTTGACTTTCTCTCCCTGCTAAGGCCAGATAAGTAGCAACTGTCGCTCTGCATGGGCAACCTCAGGGTTGGGCCCGGCTGGGACGTATAGTTTGATCTCCACCATGGGCTTTATTTACTCTGCTGATACCCAGGCAATGCCGTCACCTGACTGACTGAATGAGCACATGCCCCTGGTCCTCCCCCTCTGCCTCCCCCCCACCCAACTGCCCTGAGCCCTCATTAAGAACCGTTTACCCAGGCTCACACCTGTCATCCCAGCTACTCAGCCAGCCCGGGTAGGAAAGTCCATGAGACGCTGATCTCCAATGAACCAGCAAAAAACCAAAGGTAGAGCTGTGGTTCAAGTGGTAGAGGGGCTAGCCTTGGACAAAACAAAAGCTCAAGCCCAGAGTTCAACCCCAGGATGGGCACAAATAAAACAAATAGAAGCAGGCATCCTGGCTCCACCGTATGCCCCCCCCAACTCACAGAGCACCTGGGCGCGCACCCCCCAGCCCCCCCCCCCCGCCCCCCACCCTTAGCATGCCAGGCAGACCCCCCACCGCCGGGGCTTCTCAGTGCCACCTTGAGATAAGTGGGTGCACCTCCCTCTTCCTTTCCTCTCACAAGTCCCCAGCCTGCCCGGCCCAGGCAGTGGGGTCCCCCAGGAGATTGGGGAGGGGCTGTGGGGGTGGGGGGGAAGATCGGGGTGCTGGGGGTGAAATCTGGGGTGGAGCTGGGGTAACCCAGGGGTTTGGGGTTCAGGGGTTGAAATCTGGGGGGGTGTTGGGGGGAACCCAGGGGTTGGGAGATGGGGAGACCCGAAGATCGGGGGTCTGGGAGTAGACGTGTGGGGGCCCGGGGCTGGGGTGCGCCTGGAGCTGAGGGTCCCCGCGCCCCACCTACCGGGCCGCGGCGCGGAGTCCTGGGCCGCGCGGTGCGGTGCGGCGCGGAGTCCTGGGCCGCGCGGTGCGGCGCGGAGTCCTGGGCCGCGCGGTGCGGCGCGGAGTCCTGGGCCGCGCGGTGCGGTGTCGCGCGGAGTCCTGGGCCGCGCGGTGCGGTGCGGCGCGGAGTCCTGGGCCGCGCGGTGCGGTGCGGCGCGGAGTCCTGGGCCGCGCGGTGCGGCGCGGAGTCCTGGGCCGCGCGGTGCGGCGCGGAGTCCTGGGCCGCGCGGTGCGGCGCGGAGTCCTGGGCCGCGCGGTGCGGTGCGGCGCGGAGTCCTGGGCCGCGCGGTGCGGCGCGGAGTCCTGGGCCGCGCGGTGCGGCGCGGAGTCCTGGGCCGCGCGGTGCGGTGTCGCGCGGAGTCCTGGGCCGCGCGGTGCGGTGCGGTGCGGCGCGGAGTCCTGGGCCGCGCGGTGCGGCGCGGCGCGGTGCAGCGCCGGCGCGGCGGGCGGGAGCGGCGGCGGCGCCCCTTCCGGGTCCCGGCCGGCCGGGGCGGCGCCTGGCGCGGTGACGTGCGGTGACGCGGCGGTGACGCGAAGCCCCGCCCCCGGCCCGGGAAAGTCCCGGCGCAGCCCCGCCACGCCCCCGCGCAGCCGGGGCCTCCCCTGCCGTGCCCGGCCTCCCCTCCCCTCCCCTGCGCGGCCTCCCCTCCCCGAGCCTCCCCTGCCCTGCGCGGCCTCCCCTCCCCTGCGCGGCCTCCCCTCCCCTGCCGTGCCCGGCCTCCCCTCCCCTGCCGTGCCCGGCCTCCCCTCTCCTGCCCGGGCCTCCCCTCCCCTGCCCTGCCCGGCCTCCCCTCCCCGAGCCTCCCCTGCGCGGCCTCCCCTCCCCGGGCCTCCCCTCCCCTGCGCGGCCTCCCCTCCCCGAGCCTCCCCTGCCCTGCCCTGCCCGGCCTCCCCTCCCCTGCGCGGCCTCCCCTCCCCGAGCCTCCCCTCCCCTGCGCGGCCTCCCCTCCCCAAGCCTCCCCTGCCCTGCCCTCCCCGAGCCTCCCCTCCCCTGCGCGGCCTCCCCTCCCCGAGCCTCCCCTGCCCTGCCCTGCGCGGCCTCCCCTCCCCTGCGCGGCCTCCCCTCCCCTGCCGTGCCCGGCCTCCCCTCTCCTGCCCGGGCCTCCCCTCCCCTGCCCTGCCCGGCCTCCCCTCTCCTGCCCGGGCCTCCCCTCCCCTGCCCTGCCCGGCCTCCCCTCCCCTGCGCGGCCTCCCCTCCCCAAGCCTCCCCTGCCCTGCCCTCCCCGAGCCTCCCCTCCCCTGCGCGGCCTCCCCTCCCCGAGCCTCCCCTGCCCTGCCCTGCGCGGCCTCCCCTCCCCTGCGCGGCCTCCCCTCCCCTGCCGTGCCCGGCCTCCCCTCTCCTGCCCGGGCCTCCCCTCCCCTGCCCTGCCCGGCCTCCCCTCCCCGAGCCTCCCCTGCGCGGCCTCCCCTCCCCGAGCCTCCCCTCCCCTGCGCGGCCTCCCCTCCCCAAGCCTCCCCTGCCCTGCCCTGCCCGGCCTCCCCTCCCCTGCGCGGCCTCCCCTCCCCTCCCCGAGCCTCCCCTTCCCTGCCCTGCGCGGCCTCCCCTCCCCTGCCCGGGCCTCCCCTCCCCGGGCCTCCCTTCCCCTGCGTGGCCTCCCCTCCCCTCCCCTGCCCTGGCCTCCCCTCCCCGGGCCTCCCCTGCCCTGCCCTGCCCCGGCCTCCCCTCTCCAGCCTCCCCTCCCCAGCCTCCCCGGCTAGGGCCCCAACAACACCCTGACACCCCACAGCAAAGACCTTTGCGATTCTTTATTTTTGGTCGGTCATGGGTCTTGAACTCTGGGCCTGGGTGCTGTCCCTCAGCTCTTCAGCTCAAGGCTAGCGCTCTACCACTTGAGCCACAGCACCACTTGCAGCTTTTTCTGCTTATGTGGTGCTGAGGAATCAAACCAAGGGTTTCATGCATGCGAGGCAAGCACTCTACCACTGAGCCACCTTTCCTAGTCCCTTCTTCACCTCTTAAAATTGAGGACATTGGGGCTGGGAAGGTGGGAGAGTGCTAGCCTTGAGCAAAAGAAGCTCAGGGACCCTGAGTTCTCTAGTGTACATACACACACACACACACACACACACACACACACACAAGGCCAGGCTTCCAGCCTTGCCAGTGACCTCTGTCACTGGAAGTGAAACAGTTTCCACCATAGCCTCAAACTCGGATTGAGACTCGAGCACAGAGCTACAGATCACACACAGATCACACACAGATCACACACAGATCACACAATCACACACAGATCACACACAGATCACACACAGATCACACACAGATCACACAATCACACACAGATCACACACAGATCACACACAGATCACACAATCACACACAGATCACACACAGATCACACACAGATCACACACAATCACACACAGATCACACACAGATCACACACAGATCACACACAGATCACACAATCACACACAGATCACACACAGATCACACAATCACACACAGATCACACACAGATCACACACAGATCACACACAGATCACACACAGATCACACAATCACACACAGATCACACACAGATCACACACAGATCACACACAGATCACACACAGATCACACAATCACACACAGATCACACACAGATCACACACAGATCACACAATCACACACAGATCACACACAGATCACACACAGATCACACACAGATCACACAATCACACACAGATCACACACAGATCACACACAGATCACACAATCACACACAGATCACACACAGATCACACACAGATCACACACAGATCACACAATCACACACAGATCACACACAGATCACACACAGATCACACACAGATCACACAGATCACACAGATCACACACAATCACACACAGATCACACACAGATCACACACAGATCACACACAGATCACACACAGATCACACAATCACACACAGATCACACACAGATCACACACAGATCACACAATCACACACAGATCACACACAGATCACACACAGATCACACACAGATCACACAATCACACACAGATCACACACAGATCACACACAGATCACACAATCACACACAGATCACACACAGATCACACACAGATCACACAATCACACACAGATCACACACAGACGGCCGTGCTGAGCTGCAGGGAAACGTTTATTAAGGCATCACCAAACACTGAACAGAGCGAGGCTGGCCGGCTCGTCCCAGAGGCCCGAGGCCAGCTTCTTGGACCTAAATCCATTTGCACAGAAGCTTGAGATAGGAAAGGAAGCAGGGCGTAATAAGAACAACATCGTCAACATTTAGAAGAAAGAAAAGGGTTTGGAAGCTTCTGGGGGGGAAATGTGTTTTTTCCTTGCCGGGAACTTGGCCTGATGAGGTGAGGCTCACGGAATGCGCCTGCCCAGCGCAGAGGTGAGTGGTCGTCAGTTGGAGAACCACTTCGTTGAAAGACTCCTCCTTAACTCCAGGGGGGACGCAGCCTCCCCCCACTTTTTTGGCCCTTCCTCCCACCCTACTTCTTGGTTTCCGGGGCTTTCTCGGTGATCCCCGGGGAGAAAGGGCCCACCAGCCACATGAGGGGTGGGTTCTGGGCCACAGACTCCACCGTGTGCGCCAGGGCCTCCCGGGCCTCGGCCACGCGCTCGCGGCTCTGGGCGAGGACGCTGCTGGACAGGTCCTGGAAGGACCGGACGTGGGCGAAGGTGGCATGGAGGGCCTCGGCGTGGCGGCGGGCCTGCTGGGCCTGGTCCTTCACCTGGGCCGGCAGCCCCTGCAGGCTGGCGCCCAGGGCCGCGCACGCACCCTGCAGCTGCCCGGTGAGGTCTCGGACCATGCTCAGCGCCTGTGACTCCACCTGCTGAGAAAGGACAGCCGGGACCAGTCAGGGCCTCGGGCTGGCTACACAGACGCCAGAGGGACAGACAGATGGGTGGCTCCTTGGGCCTAGGAGAGAAGACTTCTCAAGGGCGAGGGCTGTTTTGTTGTTTCTGCCTGTCCTAGGACTTGAACTCTGGGCCTGGGCACTGTCCCTCAGCTCTTCAGCTCAAGGCGAGCGCTCTACCACTTGAGCCACAGCGCCACTTCTGGTTTTCTGGTGGTTCACTGGAGATAAGAGTCTCACAGACTTTCCTGCCTGGACTGACTTTGAATCAGGATCCTCAGCTCTCAGCCTCCTGGGTAGATAGGATTACAGGCCTGAGCCACCAGTGCCTGGGTAAGGGAGAGGGATTTTGGGGGTATAAGTGTTTAATCAAGATGTCAACCTGGACAGAAGAGTCCATAAGAATCCATCTCTTAATTAACCAGCAAAAAACCAGGCTGGAGGTGTGACTCAAGTGGAAATATAGAAATTATTTTTTTCCTCCTGTTTTTGCTAGTTCTGGGGCTTGAAGTGAAGGGCCTAGGCACTTTTCCTGAGCTTTTTCTCTCAAGGCTGGTGCTCTACCACTTGAACCACAGCTCTACTTCCAGCTTTTTGTTGGTCCAATGGAGATAAGAATCTCACAGACTTTGCTGCCCCGGTTGGCTTCAAACCATGATTCTCAGATATCAGCCTTCTGAGTAGCCTGGATTACAGGCATGAGCCACTGGCGCCCAACTGGAAATAAAATTTTAAGTGATCTAAGCACTGAAGCATCCAGACCACCCCCTGCCTTCCTTGGTGATACAATGTTAACAGTGCCCAAAGCCATGGCATTGTATCAGTGCCCTGAGACACCTGGGGGGGGAGCAGTGGAAGAAGGCTGGTTCCATGGAGGCACAACCTCCTTTTCTTTTTTTTTTTTTTGCTGGTCGTGGGGGCTTAACTCTGGGCCTGGGCGCTGTCCCTCAGCTCTTCAGCTCAAGGCTAGCGCTCTACCACTTGAGCCACAGCACCACTTACAGCTTTTTCTGTTTATGTGGTACTGAGGAATCGAACCCAGGGCCTCATGCATGTGAGGCAAGCACTCTACCACTGAGCCACCTTCCCAGCCCCTCAACCTCATTTTAAATAAAGAACGTGAGCACCCATCCGTGGGGTCCTGGAATCAAGGACACCAGCGAGAGACCAGAGAGCCGCACCCTACTGCCTTCTGATCTGTGTATGTGCATGCAAGCATGTGTGCACTGGTACTAGGGCCTCTTTGGCTTGCCTTTTTTCCCCTCTCATGTCTGGTGCTCTACCACTTGGACCACACCTCCAGTCTAGCTCTTATTTTTGTCAGTCATGGGGCCTGAATTCTGGGCCTGGGCGCTGTCCCTTAGTCCTTCAGCTCAAGGCTAGTGCTCTACCACTTGAGCCACAGCGCCACTTCCGGCTTTTTTCTGCTTATGTGGTGCTGAGGAATAGAACCCATGGCCTCATGCATGCAAGGCAAGCGCTCTACCATGGAGCCACCTTCCCAGCCCCAGTCTACCTTTTTTTACTGGTTAATTGGATATAGAGTCTCTCCAGCTTGTCTGCCTGAGCTTGCTTTGAACCATGCTCCTCAGATCTTAGCCTTCCTGAGTAGCAAGGATGCCAGGAGTGAGCCACCATGCCCGGCTCCTCCTACCCCACACTTGTACGTGAAGCTTCATAGAAAGACAACCTAAAACAGAGACAAATCCCTAGCTTCTATCATGATGAGTGGGCACCCATGCCAGAGTACCATGCAGCCAAGAGCAGGGCAAGGCTCTGATCCACCGCACAGCATGGCGGGACCTGAGGCTGTAACAGGCCAGGCCACAGACAGGAAGTGGACTACAGGGGGCTGGGGAGGCAGCTCCCTGCCAGGACTGGGTTTCTTTTGTCATGGGGAGAGAAGGTTCTGGAATTTAGTTGTGGTGATGGTTGTGTAACTCTGTAAATATACCAAAACCCACTTTATTATTCAGAGTCAAGCTTTTCCTAGTCCCCTGGGCTACTGGAACCAGGCCTTTCCCATGAGCCACACTCCAACCCTGTTGTCAAACTCCATAGGCACTTTTCTCCATGTGTGAGTGTTGGTCATGGGGCCTGAACTCTGGGCCTGAGCACTGTCCCTCAGCTCTTCAGCTCAAGGCTAGTACCCTACCACTTGAGCCAAAGCGCCACTTCCAGCTTTTTCGGCTTATGTGGTGCTGAGGAATCGAACCCAGGGCCTAATGCATGCAAGGCAAGCACTCTACCACTGAGCCACCTTCCCAGCTCCCTACTTTTGTTTTTGAACAGCCAGGCTGAAGAGGATAGGAGAGAGACTTAACCCGGGCATCTGTGGCTCACACCTGTCATCCTAGCTACTCAGGAGGCTGAGATCTGAGGATCATGGATCAAAGCCAGCCCAGGAAGGAAAGTTTGTGAGACTCTTATCTCCAATAAACCACCAGAGAATAGGAAGTGGCACTGTGGTGCAAGTGGTAGAGCGCTAGTCTTGAGCACAAAGAGGCTCAGGTACAGTGCCCAGGCCCTGAGTTCAAGCCCCAGGACTTGGGGGGCGGGGGGGAAGGAAAGTTGAATTACAGCCAGCAGCTCGCAGGCACCATGATATTTGTGGTTCATTAGTTAACCTGATGTCATTTTATCTTTCTTAAAACTGACCTGTAGCTAGGCCCCAGTGGCTCTCCCATCATCCTAGCTACTCAGGAGGCTGAGAGATGAGGGGTGAGGTTCGTAGCCAGCCCAGCACAGGAAAGCCTGTGAGAGACTCTTATCTCTATCTTATGTTACCCCAAAATAGTCAAAAGCAAGGTGTGGCTCAAGTGGTAGAGTGCCAGCCTTGATTAACAATCACAGGACAGTGCCCAGACCCTGAGTTCAGGTCCCAGGTGTGCACACGCACGCACACACACACACAGAGACGTGAGGACCATGGAAGACAATACTGGGAGTCATGAACTGCCACACTAGAACCCACAGGACAGATGGGGCATGAAAGACACCAAGACTTGGCTTTTACAGGTGGAGCCACTTCATCATTAAGAGGCCGCAACCACGCCACAGAGTAGAAAGCAAGGTGAACTTCCTGGAGGAGGTGGCACAGCCAATAACCGTCGCTTATAGGAGAGAAATCACTGCTGACAGACGGATCCACAGACCGGAGTGTGGTGGGAAACACGGGGGGTCCGGTGGGTACCTCTGGCTCTGCGGGGTCCGGGTCCCTCTCACTGTTCTTCTTGTTCGGGGTCTTCATGTTCTTCCAGTTCATCCACATCTGGCTCAGTTTCTCCTGCCCCTCCCCCAGCTTCTGATCCACACTTTGCTTTGCGCTTTCGATCTGCAGTTGAGGGAGGAGGAGATGAGGAAAGTGTCTAACACCCCCTTCCTCCCCAACCCCAGGCCCAGAGGGGGCCCTGACCACCGCCCTCCATGTGAGTTGTCCAGTGGGGAGGCAGGGAGATAGTGTTCCCTCCTCTTGCCCCAAGGCCTGGCCACCAGTCTGGCTTTAGCCAAAGGGACATGAAAGCTTGAAATTGCATGCAGTGGAATACTATTCAGCCATGAAAAAAAAAAGAAAATTTTGAACCCACAGTTGAATATGCAGATGACACTCATGACGAGGCAGACATAGGACAGGAAAGGATCTCAGGTCCCAGGAGCGATCAGAGCCACAGAAACAGGAAGCAGGAGGGGGGAAAGGAGGGGAGTTAGAGTTGGAGACAGACAGAGCTGCAGTCTGGGAGATGGAAGGTTCTGGAAACCAATAATGTGGGGGCGGGGGGAATGGCTGAACAGCCAGGTGACCACGATGAATGCTGCTGAGATGTGCAAGGGAAGATCATCTCAGTAGAAGAGCACCTGCTTGGCACACTTAGGGCCTGGGTTTCATTGCCAGCCCCCTAAAAAGAAGGAACTGGACACAAGTGGCTCACACATTGTGATCTTAGCAACTCGGGAGGCTGAGATCTGAGGATCACAGTTCAAAGCCAGGAAAGGTCGTAAGACATTTGTCTCCCATCAACCAGCACAAAACTGGACTGGAGTTGTGGCTCAAGTGGTAGAGCATTAGCCTGGAGAGGAAAACATAAAACAAGAGCACAAGGCTCAGATTTCATGCCTCGGTACTTGCACCAAAAGAAAAAAGAAAAAGATGAGTCAGCTGGGTATTGGCGGCTCACACTTACAATTCAAACTACTCAGGAGGCTGAAACCAGAGGATCGCGGTTCAAAGCCAGACTGGCCAGCAACGGCTGTGAGCCTCGCCTCCAGTGAACCCCCATAAAGCCAGGAGTGGCGCTGTGGCTCAAGGGGTCGCGCGCTCGCCTTGAGCACAAGGTCAAGGACAGCGCCCAGGCCCTGAGTTCAAGCCCCAGGACTGGCAGGAAAAAAAAAAATATCCACGAAACCCACAAACACATCACCGAGGTTAGGCAGGCACACAGACACACACAAGGACAAGGACAGAGGCCGGAAGGCGCCAGCGGACGAGGGGCGACAGGAAGACCACGATCTGAGTCCCGCCCCGGCCCCGCCCCTCGCCACGCCCCGCCCCTCGCCACGCCCCGCCCCCTCACCAGGCTGAGCGCATGCGCCAGCTGCTGCAGCGCGTCCTGCGCGCCCTGCCCGGCGCCCCGCAGCCGCCCCAGCGCGTGTGCGCAGGCGCGCTGCCGCAGCCGCTCCGACAGCGAGCCCAGGCGCACGAAGTAGCTCTGCTCCCGCCGCTGCTGCTGCACCGAGGCCGGGTCGCAGCCCTCCACCGACGCGGCCAGGCGGGCTGCGGGGACAGAGGGGGCGGTGAGGTACCTGTCGGGGAAGCCCGGGCTGGGATGATGGCTCTGCGCCACCACGCCCGGCTCAAAGAGCGCGTTTCGGTGCATTATCCGGTTCTTTACAGAAAAGGGCCTGGCGCCACACGGGCTGATCGTTAACTCGGTGCTTGGTGCCAGGCATTTCCCCTTGAGCGCTAAGGACTTAATATGTCAGGGAGCAGGGGCTTAGGTTCGGGGGTCCCCATGCTGTGGGTTATGTGATCTTTAAAATAGGAAACTGGGGCTCAAAGACGTTAAGCAACTTGCTCAAACTACCCGGCCAGGGGGCAGAGCTGGCCTGGATGTCCACTCCCTTCGGAGCTTTTCGTTCTTTCCCTTTTTTTCTTGCGAGTACTGGAGTTGGAACGTCTGACGTCCCTGGGAGCCTGGCATTCTACGGCTGGAGTCCCGCCCCTACCACGCAAAGCCACGCCCCCGCCGCAGCCACGCCCTCACATGTGAATTCTGCGCGGGCCACGCCCCCAGCGCTGGGCCACGCCCAATATTAGGCCACGCCCTCGCGCTTTGAGTCCCTATGGGCCCTGGGCCCCCATTCCTACCCTCCCAACCCTTCACCACCAGCTGGGAGAGCGCCAGGAAGGGGTGACACTGCCCCAAAGAGATGTACTCTTAGCTGGGCGCCTTAGCTAGCTACTCAGGAGGCTGAGAAAAAGAAGACGCTCAATGGTAGTACCCAGGTACCCAGGCCATGAGTTCAAGCCCCAAGACAGAAGCAAAAAATCCACACCACATGCACTTGAGGTTGGGAACTCCATCCAGGCCTCAGCCTGCAGGGGTGACTGGCACGCACCACCTCTCTCTCCCGGTGCATAGCTAGTCCGACAGCAGCTCTGCAGGGACACGTTCCCTTCTCTGGGTGGCCTCATACCAGTACAATCCAGGTCAGGGTGGGGTGGGGAGTGGAGGATGGAAGCTGGGGCAGGGCTTGAGTGGCAGCCATTCTGACCAATCACAGCAGGGCACAGGCTTCAGGCTCAGGCTACCCGCTGTGGCCTAGAATGGATTTCCCCATACCAAGAGGAACCAACAATTCCAAGGAAGCCAGGGTGTGGTGGCTGTGGGGTCATTCCAGCTCTTATTCTGAACTTATTCCAGAGCAGAGGCATGAGGATCGAGTTTCAGGCCAGCCTGGGCAAACCTTGTCTCAAAAACAACAAAACAGAAACCAGAAAAGCAAGGGCTGGAGTGGGGCTCAGGAGTGCGTGCTTGCCTGCCCTGCCCTTGTGTCTACCCCCAGCACCCCAAAAACAAAATGCTCATCCAATACTTGCTAGGCATCAAGTTCTAGACGCATACTGCCCGCCCCGACGCCACTCCTGGACAAAAAATCACATGGAGCAGGGCACCAGTAGCTCAGGCCTGTAATCCTAGCTACTCAAGAGACGAAGACTTGAGGATTTTCAGTTCAAAACAGCCCCAGGCAGGAAAGTTCATGTGATGGTTATGTCCAAATGACCACCAAAAAGCCAGAAGTGGAGCTGTGGCTCAAGTGGTAGAGCACCAGCCTTGAGCACAAAAGCACCCAGACCATGCATACACATCACACAATCACACGGAAAAGAACTGAGAGGGGGCTGGATAGATTCCACAATTTGGCTAATGGCAACCAAATGAGTGGGCAAAGAGAAGCCAACGAAAGGGGACGTTGAGGCAGGATAGATGGAGCCTGGCCAGATGGAGAAGCAAGCAAGGAGCAGAGAGAGGCAGAGGAAGAAGGCCGGGAAGGGACCAGGCAGGTTGTGCAGGGCCCTGAGGAAGATGGGAGCCCTAGAGGACTGTAGGCAGAGGAAACAGGGTGGGGGGCTGAGGACGCTGGGGCGGGGAGGAAAGGCGCCACGCCGGCCTCTGCTCCAGGCGCCCTCTGGTGGCGGCTTTGGGGAGGACAGACAGCACTCAGGGTGAAGGTGAGTGGGGATGGGAGGTTCAGGACAGCAGGTGACAGACACATCCCAGGAGGCCACGCTCACCCAGCTCCTCATCCGTCAGGGGCAGGTGGTTGTCCACCCAGTCTTCTGACTTGCCCAGCATGGTGTCCACCCTACTGGTCACCATCTGACCCATGCGGGTGCCCATGACTGAGTTCATGCCCATGCTGAGCATGGACATTGTCAAGTCTACTGCCTCGGTCACGCTCGTGGCCACGGTGTCTTTGGCGCTGGACACGGTGTTGGAGAACATCTCTCTGGCCTCCGTCATCTTGGTTGACACCAGGTCCTTGGTGTCAGCCAGGACCTAAGGAGAAGAGGACAGTGACAAAGTTCTTCCTTCCTTCCTTCCTGGCCTGGGCCCCGTGTACCCCAGAGTAGCCACCAGGGGGTGCCAAAGAGCATCAAATCCCGCCCCAGCCTTTCCTGGACCTGCAACTGGACTGCCTAGGTTCAAATCCTCATCTTGTTTCTTTCTTTCTTCTTTCTCTTTCTTTCTCTCTCTCTCTCTCTTTCTTTTCTCTCTCTTTCCTTTCTTTCTTTCTTTTTTGTAGGTCATGAGGCTTGAACGGGCACCGTCCTTGAGCTGAAGAGCTCAAGGTGTGACCACTACCACTTGAGCCATAGCACCACTTCCAGTTTTCTGGTGGTTCATTGGAAATAAGAGTCTCATGGAGTTTCCAGCCTAGGCTAGTTTTGAACCACAATCCTCAGATCTTGGCCTCCTGAGTAGCTAGGATTACAGGCATGAGCCACCCATGCCTGGCCCTCAGCTTGATTCTTTCTTTCTTTTTTTTTTTTTTTGGTTGGTCTCGGGGCTTGAACTCAGGGCCTGGGCGCTGTCCCTCAGCTCTTCAGTTCAAGGCGAGCGCTCTACCACTTGAGCCACAGCGCCACTTCCGGTTTTTCTAGTGGTTTATTGGAGATAAGAGTCTCACGGATTTTCCTGCCCAGGCTGGCTTTGAACCACAATCCTCAGATCTCAGCCTCCTAAGTAGCTAGGATTACAGGCGTGAGCCACCGGTGCCCAGCTACCTTGATTCTTTCTAACTGTGCATATGGCCTTAGCCGACACTCTACTTCTCTGTACTGCTCTTTTTTTCTTGGTCAGTCATGGGACTTGAACTCAGGGCCTAGGTGTTATCCCTTTGTTTGTTCACTCAAGGCTAGAACTCTACCACTTGAGCCACAGCACCACTTCTGGTTTTCTGTTGGTTTATTGGAGATAAGAGTCTCACAGAAGCTGGGCGCTGGTGGCTCACACTTATTATCCTAGCTACTCAGGAGGCTGAGATCTGAGGATCACAGTTCAAAACCAGCCCGGGAAGGAAAGCCTGTGAGACTCTTATCTCCAGTAAACCACCAGAAAACCAGAAGTGGCGCTGTGGCTCAAGCGGTAGAGCGCTCGCCTTGAGATGAAGAGCTGAGGGACAGCGCGCAGGCCCAGAGTTCAAGCCTCACAACAACAATAACAAAAAAAGGTCTCACGGACTTTCCTGCCCAAGCTGGCTTCGAACTGTGACACTCTGATCCCAGCCTCCCCGGTAGGATTACAGGTGAGAGTCACCAGCAGCCCTGTCAGCCAGAGGGCTTGAACTCTGGGCCTGGGTGCTGTCCTTGAGCTCTTCAGCTCAAGGCCAGCATTCTACCACTTCAGCCTCCTGAGTAGCTAGGATGACAGGTATGAGCTACCAGCACCCAGCTTCTGTTTTCTTAATCCAGAGTGGTGAATGTTCTTCCTCCAATTCTTAGCATGAAGAACTAATCTCCACCCTCTAGGATGGTGGAATGTGGCCGCATCCTCATTTCCTGTGGGTGCTTTGCTGATTTTGGTGGTACCAGAGTTTGAACTCAGCACCTTGTGTTTGCTAGCTGTGTACTCTACCACTTAAGAAGCAATGCCTCCAGCCCTTTTTTTGCACTGTTTGTGTGTGTGTGTGTGTGTGTGTGTGTGTGTGTGTGCATGTGTGCTGGTTCTGGAGCTTGAACTCTGAGCTTGAGCACTCACTGTCCCTTAGCCTTTTTGCTCAAGGCTAGCCCTCTACCACTTGAGTCACCCTTCTATACCTGCCTTTTGCTGTTTGATTGTAGGTAAAAGTCTCACACATTTTCCTGTCCTGACTGGCTTTGAAATGTGCTCCTCAGATAACTCCTGAATAGCTTGGATTACAGGCATGACCTACCAGCGCCCAACTGCCCTGGTTATTTTTGAGATACAGCTTGGCTTCCTGCCTGGGCTTCTCACTATGCCTAGCTCTGAGATGGAGTCTCTTAAGATTTTTGTTTTTAATTTTTTTTTTTTTTTTTGGTCAGTTGTGGGGCCTGGGCGCTGTCCCTCAGCTCTTCAGCTCAAGGCTAGCGCTCTACCACTTGAGCCACAGCATCACTTCTGGCTTTTTCTGCTTATGTGGTGCTGAGCAATGCAACCAGGGCCTCAGGCATGCAAGGCAAGCACTCTACCACTGAGCCACTCTCCCAGCCCTCTCAAGATTTCTCTGCCCAAACTGCCTTGAACTTTGATCCTCCTGTTCTTAGCCTCCTAAGTACTTGGATTATGGGCATGCACCACGTTGCCTATTATGCATATGTATATATATATAACATATATAATGTATACATTATATATTACATATACAATTATACATACGTTACTCTTGAATCCATGTTTTAAGCCTGGCTGAGGCTCACATTTAAAGCACACACATACCCATCTCCAGCCCTGGGCCCCAGGGACAGCCTGCCCTGCTGTAGGATCCCAACCAAGAGCTGGGGGCCCCTGGCCTGGCCCAGTTGGATGACCTTGGACAAGCGGAGACTGAGCTCACCCTTCCGTAATCAGAAGCGGCGGCGGGACATTCCAGGACTTGCTGCAATCACAGGGAGGGGGAGAGGGCAAGGACGCTGGGGCTACGTTCTGGGGCCTCAGTGGAACTCACCTTCCGTTACCCCAAACCCACGAAGGGGGGCAGGCTTTTTCACTTTGTCAGTAGTACTGGGGGGTTGAACGCAAGGTATGATGCTTGCTAGGCAGGGGTTCTACCATTTGAGACACTCCCTAGCTCATCTCCTCTGTGTGTGTGTGTGTGTGTGTGTGTGTGTGTGTGTATGTGTGTGTGTGTGTGTGTATCTCCTTGAGTTTGAACTCTGGGCCTGGATATGTCCTTTAGCTTTTCTGCTCAAGGCTAATTAATGCTCAACCACTTGAACCACAGCTCTACTTCTGGCTATTTTCTGGTGGTTTAGTGGAGATAAGAGTATCACAGCCAGGGCTGGGAAGGTGGCTTAGTGGTAGAGCGCTTGCCTTGCATGCCTGAGGCCCTGGGTTCGATTCCTCAGCACCACATAAGCGAAAAGAAAAAAGCCAGAAGGGGCGCTGTGGCTCAAGTGGTAGAGCGCTAGCCTTGAGCTGAAGAGCTGAGGGACAGCACCCAGGCCCAGAGTTCAGGCCCCACGACCGGACCCAAAAAAAAAAAAGAAGAGTATCACAGCCAGCGCCAGTGGCTCACGCCTGTAATCCTAGCTACTCAGGAGGCTGAGATCTGAGGATCGCGGTTCAAAGCCAGCCCGGGCAGAAGAGACCGTGAGACTCCTATCTCCAATAAACCACCAGAAAACCAGAAGTGGCGCTGTGGCTTAAGGGTAAAGTGCTGGCCTTGAGCTGAAGAGCACAGGGACAGGGCCCAGGCCCAGAGTTCAAGCCTCAAAACCGGCAAAAAGAAAAAAAGAGCCGGGCACTGGTGGCTCACGCCTGTTATCCTAGCTACTCAGGAGGCTGAGATCTGAGGATCGCGGTTCAAAGCCAGCCCAGGCAGGAGAGACCGTGAGACTCCTATCTCCAATAAACCACTAGAAAACCGGAAGTGGCACTATAGTTCAAGTGGTAGAGTGCTTGCCTTGAGCTGAAGAGCTGAGGGACAGCGCCCAGACCCAGAGTTCAAGCCCCACGGCCGACCAAAAAAAAAAAAAAATGAGTTTCACAGACTTTCCTGCCTGGGCTGGCTTTGAACCATGATCCTCAGATCTCAGCCTCCGGAGTAGCTAGGATTACAGGCGTGAGCCACTGGTGCCAGGCTAAGACCTCTTAAGTAGGGCAGAAAACCCTTTCAAGATCAGAGAGTTGGGCTAGGAAGGTGGCTTAGTGGTACAGTGCTTGCCTCGCATGCATGAAGCCCTGGGTTTGATTCCTCAGTACCACATAATAAGAAAAAGCCAGAAGTGGTGCTGTGGCTCAAGTGGTAGAGTGCTAGCCTTGAGCAAAAGAAGCCCAGGCCCTAAGTTCAAGCCCCTGGGCTGACCAAAAAAAAAAAAAAAATCAAGAGTTGAAGAAATTGATCCAGGGGCTGGGAAGGTGGCTCAGCGGTAGAGCGCTTGACTTGCATGAATGAGGCCCTGGGTTCGATTCCTCAGCACCACATTAGCAGAAAAAGCCAGAAGTAGGGCTGACATTCAAGTGGTAGAGTGCTAGCCTTGAGCTGAAGAGCTGAGGGACAGCGCCCAGGCCCAGAGTTCAGGCCCCACAACTGACAAAAAGAAAAAAAAAGAAAAAGAAAAAAAGAAATTGATCCATGGTGAAACAGCATGTGCAAAGGTCCTGGGGCCGGATACGGAAGGGTGGCATATTCAGGTTATTTGCCTCCCCTGCCTCCCTGGAATGAAGGTTCTTGCTTGCTTGTCTCATCTGACTATGCTGGGACCTACAGACCCCATACCCAGGTGACCTCACCGAGCCCCGGCCGCCTGGCCGTTCTTTACCTTGTCTGAGGTCTGCTGCAGGATAGGCACTGTCTGCAAGCGGTCTAGGCCCCGGTGGGCATACTCGCTGGCCGAGGTGACTACGAGGGGACGTGAGGAAGCAGAGATAAGAGTTGTCACCGTCTCATAGGGGCCCAAGAGAGCAATCACCCCGGCCGGACAGCCAGGAGAGAGCTCCCCCCACGTGCTTGTGTGGGCCACTCACTCTGGGGCTCCAGCTTGGACAGGATGGGTTGGGCCCCGCTGACCGCAGCCTCCGTGAACGTCCTGATGCCTTTCTCCGCCATGTCGCACACGGCCTTGACGTTGGGGTGGCTCTCCTTGGTGGAGGTGTAGGCGGCGGACACCATGTTGCAGGTGGAGCTGATGAGCGGCATGGCGGCCACGCGGTCCACCACGCCAGGCTGGGGGGGGGGGGATGGGAGGGGCGAGAGGGATGGGCGGGGCAAGAGGGATGGGCGGGGCAAGAGCAGGGCAGGTCAGCCAGGCCTGGAGCATAGAGACAGAGACTAGGCCCAAACTTCAGTACGCTCTGTGCTTCCTCTATCCACGCAAGGCAGGGATGAGACTCAGGAGACACCCCACAACACACACCCTTCTCACAGCGCTCTGGGCCTAACATGAGGGGCATCTGCAGATGCTAGCTCACCAGCCAAATCTCACCCACCTTCTGCTTGTTTTTGTTGTTGCTATTTGTTTCTATTCGTTGCTAATAGTTTCATTGAGACACACAATTCATACACTACCATGTCTGGCATCTATCTATCTATTTTTGTTGGTCTTGGGTCTCGAACTCAGAGCCTGGGCTCTGTCCCTGAGCTCTTTTGCTCCAGGCTACAGCTCTACCACTTGACGCCACAGCTCCACTTCTGGCGTTTGGGTAGGCCCACAAACTTTCCAGCCTGGACTGGCTTCAGATCGTGATCCTCAGCTCTCAGGCCTCTGAGTCGCTGGGGTTACAGGAGTGAGCCACTACACCAGGCTCTACTGTCCGTTCTATTCTCTACTCACAGCTGGCCAGTTTCCTGGAGCTCAGCAGCCGCACAGGGCCCCTGGTTTCCACGGTGGACAGGACAGATAACCCAATTTTCACAGGGGGCTCTACTAGCTACAGCCATACACAGTGACAACAGCAATTCCAAAGGCCCTGGGGTCAGCAGTGGGCTGTATTTGAGGAGGGGAAGAGGACAAGAGTAGATAGGGTAAAGTGGGGCATGGAGAGGGCTTTAGAAAGAGGTTGCTGATGTCTCCAAGCAAGCGTGGCTCAACCGCTGGGGTCCCCCAGGTCCTCTGTGGGTCTGGTTAAATGGCAGGCTCTGATTTGAAGCAACGGCCTGACCACCACGGCCTCAATTCGGGAGCTGGCCAGGCTCTGCCCAGTGAGAATCTCACATCCCATTTCAACTTCCCCAGCTCCCACCTCCTCTCCTCCTGGGGCTGAGGGGAGGAGAGAGACTTCAGCTGAACCCCAACAAACCATACTACCCTGGGCAGAGCTAGACTTCTCCTGTCTTGCAGCCAGCTCTCCCTTGGGACAGGGCATTCATGTCCAGATTAAAGAGCTCCAGAAAGTTGAACCACAGAATAATAAATAATCCAGTTAATAAGAGAGCAAATCAACTGGAGGGTTTGTAGAAGAAGGGATACAAATGGCTAGAGCTGGTAGAGGAAGAGAGAGTCCGCAGCATGAGCCGTAAGGGAAATGAAAATCAAAACCACACTAAAGCTCACCGCTGGTGGCTCACGCCTATAATCCCAGCTACTCAGGAGGCTGAGATCTGAGGATCAGAGTGCAAAGCCAGCCCCGGCAGGAAAAGTCCATGAGGCTCTTATCTTCCATGAACAACCAAACAAGTGTGGAGTTGTGGTTCAAGTGATAGAGCACCAGCCTTGAGCAAAAAAGCTTAGGGGGCTGGAAATGTGGCTTAGTGGTAGAGTGCTTGCCCAGCATGTATGAAGCCCTGGGTTCGATTCCTCAGTACCACATACACAGAAAAAGTCAAAAGTGGCGCTGTGGCTCAAGAGGTAGCCTGGAGCCAAAGAAGCTCAGGGACAGTGCCCAGGTCCTGAGTTCAAGCCCCAGGACTGGCACATACATACATACATCCCTGACCGGCTTTAAACATTAACCCTCAGATCTCACTCAGCCTCCTGAGAAGCTGGGATTGCGGCCGTGGGCCGCACAGGTGCCTGGTGATGGTTGGCAGCAAACCGTTCAGGTCTGCTCTTTTTTTTGCTCATCTTCTGACTTGTGCCCACGCAGCCAGCCTCGTCCACGGGCTCCGGCCCCTCTCTGAGGTCCTCTCAGGGACGCGCGTGGGAATCCCGACCGCTCACCTGGGGTCCCGGCTCCTCCATCCCCTGGGTGCTGGCGTCCGCCTGCAGGACTGGCTCCTCCTCCGTCACGTGGGTGTGGGTGTGGGCGTGCATCTGTGGTACCAGCTCCTCCTCTGGTAAGTGGGCGTGGGCATGGACGTGGGCGTGGGCGTGGGCGTGGGGGTAGGGGTGGGTGTGGATGTGGGGGTGGGCGTGGGGGTGGGCGTGGACGTGGGCGTCCACCTGTGGCATCAGCTCATCCTCTGTCTCGTGGGTGTGGATGTGGGTGTCTGCCTCAGCCCACGCTGTCTCAGTCTTGGGTGACTCGGCCCTAGACATGATGTCCGCGGCAGGCACTGTGGATGGAGAGCAGTGGGAGGCCAGCCTGACCGGACACCGCCCTCAGGGCTGAGTCTAGGCCCGCACTGGGGCTCGAACCTGCTCTCCGCCCATCTCCACCCAGCAAAGGGTCACTGGTGGCCAGGCCAAGCAGCCTGGAGGACAGGTTGAGGTCACTGCCTGGGAACTATATTTCCTCTCTCTCTCTCTCTCTCTCTCTCTCTCTCTCTCTCTCTCGTGCCTATCCCGGGGTTTGAACTCAAGGCCTGGGCGCTGTCCCTGAGCTTTTACACTCAAGGATAGCACTCTCCCATTTGAGCTACAGCTCCACTTCTGGCTTTTTTTTAGGGGGGCAGAGGGGGATGTTATTCATTGTTGATAAGAGTCTCATGGACATTCCTGCCCAGGCTGGCTTTGAACTGCGATCCCAGGTCTCAGTTTGCAGGGAGGCTAGGATCGACAGGAGTGAGCCACCTGGCCCGGCTTTCAGCATTTTCCTTTCACCTAGAAACCTCATATCCAGAAGAGCCCAGAGCCGCCGAGGAGGGGGAGGGGCGGGGGGAGGGGGCAGGAGGGCAGAGGTGTGTCCTTCTGCCTGGGCCTCCGCCGGCCATGGGCAGCTGCGAGCCCAGCAGAAGGTCACGGAGGGGAAACAGCGTAGGTCCCTTGGGCAGTGGCTGAAGAATTCCTGCACTACCCAATTGACAGGGGCCAAGATGTAGTCCAGAGACCAAAAAAGAAGACAAAAAGAAAAGTCCTCTTCAGAGAGCAGAAGTTACAGAGAAACTTAATGACCACTGCCTTCCAGGGAGAAGGGGCAGCTAGCCGGTGAAGTTGAGGGAGGAGACTTTTGTTGGTGGTGGTGGTGGTCATGGGTCTTGAACTCTAGGCCTGGAAGCTGTCCCTGAGCATTTCAGTTCAAGGCGAACACTCTACCACTTGAACCACAGCACCACTTCCAGTTTTCTGGTGGTTTATTGGAGATAAAACTGTCACGGACTTTCCTGCCTGGGCTGGCTTTGAACTGTGATCCTCAGATCTCAGCCTCCTGAGTAGCTAGGATGACAGGTGTGAGCCACAGGTGACTGGCTCAGGGGAGACTTTTGACTTTGGAGACTGATAATATTACCTGTTTAAAAAAACAAAAAAATAAGCCCGGTGCTGGTGGCTCACACCTGTCATCCTAGCTACTCAGGAGGCTGAGAGCTGAGGATTGCAGTTCAGAGCTAGCCAGAGCAGGAAAGTCCATGAGACTTATCTCCAATGAACCACCAGAAAACCAGAAGTGGTGCTGTGGCTCAGGTGGTAGAGCGCTTGCCTTGAGCTGAAGAGCACAGGGCCAGCACCCAGGCCCAGAGTTCAAAGAAAGGAAGAAAGCAAACAAGCTAGCTCAGGACTGCAGTGTGGCTCAATGTGAGTGAATTCAAGCATGGGCCTAGGTCCCAGGCCCAGCAGTTGGGGGGGGAAGGGGGGATATCTGCCCAGCATCTGCCCTCCCCCCCCCTCTGCTGGCTTACCTGAGAAAAATGGGCTAAAGGTGGTTCCGGCCTCTGCCTGGAGGCTGGCCACCCAGGGAATTGTAATGTGGCTGAGCAGATCACAGGGACCTTCGGGGAGTGGATGTGGGGCTCAGGAATCAGGGTGGGGTTCTCAGCCTGGCTTTGCAAGTCTGTGAGGTTAAGGGCTGGTGAGGGGGGAAGGTCTTGACCACATCCCCGAGATGAGGGGAGTCAATCTACATTAGCTGAGTTAGGAGGAATGAAAGGCTTGGTGGCTCATGCCTGCCATCCCAGCTAGGTGGGAGACAGATATAGAGGATCACAGTTTGAGGCCAGGAACCCCCCCCCCAAAAAAAAAAAAAGTCAACAAGACTCCATTCAACACATAGGTTGAGCCGGGCACTGGTGGCTCACGCCTGTCATCCTAGCTACTCAGGAGGCTGAGATCTGAGGATCGAGGTTCAAAGCCAGCCTGAGCAGGAAAGTCCATGAAACTTGGGACAGCGCCCAAGCCCAGAGTTCAAGACCCACAACCAACCATAAACAAAAACAGTCAACAAGTGGGAAGTAACACCACTGAGAACAATCTGGTCACCTTCTCTGTGCTGACCCCTGACTGGATGTGGGCAGAGGACAGTGGGCAATGCAGCCCCAGATTCAGCTTATGGACAGTGTTGGCTCTCCTGATGCCCACCAGCCTCAGAGGAGCTATCTACACAGGAGGCTGAGATCTGAGGATCCCAGTTCAAAGCCAGCCAAGGTAGGAAAGTCCGTAAGACTCTGATCTCCAATAAACTACAAAAGAGCCGGAAGTGGAGCAGTGGTTCAAGTGGTGGAGTGCTTGCCTTGAAGGACCAGCGCATGCTTGTGCACACACACACACACACACACACACACATACACAGATTGGACATTGGGAGCTGGGCCTAGTGGCCACGCCTGTGACTCCAGCACATTGAGGCTGAGGCCAGAGGATCCGGAGTTTGGGCTTGCTTGGCCCACACAGCCAGACTCTGACTCAGGTATAAAGACAAAGAGACTGGGAGCTCAGTCGCTGGTGACTCAGGCCTGGAAACCCAGCTAATCAGGAAGCTGAGATCTGAAGGTCACAGTTCAAGGCCAGCTTGGCAGGAAAGTCCAGGAGACTCTTATCTCTACTAAAACTATCCAAAAAAGCTGGAAGTGGGGCTGTGTCTCTAGTGAGTAGAGCTCTAGCCTTGGACAAAAGCAGCTCTGGGACAGGGCCCAGGCCCTGAGTTCAAGACCCAGGACATATACACATGTGTGTATACGTGCACACACACACGCACACACACGTACACACACACACAGAAGAAAGAAGAGGCTGGGCCTGGGCAAACGCAGCCCAGGGAGGGCCCAGGCCCAGGGCGGAGGGGGGGGGGGGGGCTTGCGCAATCCCGGGCGCACCCTCGCAGCAGGGGCCCCCATTCCCCGGGTCACAGGATGAGGGGCCCCCCAGGTGTCTGGGGGGGGGGCGCTTGGGAACTTGGCTTCCCAGACTCCGAGAGGGTGTCTGGTGGGGATCGGTGCGTGGGGGGGGGGTGCAGACACCCCGGGGTACCCTCCCTCGGCCCTCCCCGCCCCCCCACCCCAAATCCCAAGAATGTCCCAGACAGAAAGTCTGAAAGACTGTGTCTGTTGCCCGAGAAGTCGATGCCAGGGGACCGAGACCCTCCAGTCCGCTGCACCCCGCGTCCGACCCCCCCACACCTCCGCCCCGGCTCGATCGGGGGCCCCTCCCACATCTCCCCCCCCCCTGCTTCCCACCTCGGTCCGCGGGACGTCCGGAAGCGGCGGCCACTTCTCCAAAGCTAGCTCCACACTAGCTGGCAGGAGGCGGGGCAAGCTTTTATACCTCGGGGGGGCGTGGTCACCGGAGTGACTGGCCGTAAGGCCAATCAGGGTGAAGAGGGGCGGTCCCGGTGTTAGCCGCGCCCCTCCCAGGTGGGAGGATGTGTGTTAAGGGGGTGTGTGTGACGTTTTGAGCACTTGGGGGACACGCCCTCTGCCGGGGGCGGGGGGGGGGGCAGGAGTGGGGGGGGCACCCCACCATTTGAGGAACTTCAGACCCAGCTGTGACCATGTAAGTCCTCGGAGCTCCACACTAGGTAACTGTGGTTCTAGATGGTCATGGAAGAGGCCAGTCACCAGGCCCAGCTCCAGTGCCAGGCCCTAACTCCTGGATCAACCTTTTCCTGAAGCTGTCACCACATGGATTTCCCCTCCCCAGCCTCCTCCTCTTCCCCCACCCCCCAAAAAGATCTTCCTCTTTTTCATCTCTAAAGCCAGGTCTTAATCTCCAATAGCCCCGGGACTAAAGCAGGAGGTAAATATTTCTGCTGGAATGGAAGCCGTGTGTTCTGTTCTGTGGAATGAGGATTTGAAAATCAGACCCGGCAGGGTGTCACGCCAGCGCCCTGCAGGCCAAGGACCATGAGTTCCCAGCCTTCTCCAGCTGCAGCAACAGGGAGAACTTGTCTCCTACCAAACACACAAACAATGCTTCCTTCATGAGTGGACTTTCTGCTACGCAGGCCTGGGCTGGAAGAATGTGGTGTTTTTGTGCCTAGCATGAGACACTCAGAGGACCTGAACCTCCAGCAAGCTCTCCTCAAGTGTGAGGCCTCTCCCTAGGCCTTGAGCTCCTGCGGCCACTTTCCCAACAAAGGCCCTGCTCACACCAGCCATGCGGGCCAGCCCCCCATCAACACTTGCAATGCACAGACCAGAGATTGGCTTTTTCTTTTCTTTTTTTGTAGTATCTGGACTTGAACTCAGGGCCTCTCACTTGCTCAAGGATGGTGCTCTGCCGCTCAAGCTATGCCTCCGCTGCCGGCTTTGTGCTGGTAAATTGGAGATAAGAGCCTCTTGGATTTGTCTGCCTGGGCTGGCTTTGAACTGTCATCTTCACATCTCAGCCTCCTGAGTAGCTGGGATTACAGGCCTGAGCCACTGGTGCCTGACTCCTTTTGTTTGTTTGTTTTTGTTTTGCTTTTGTTTGGTTTTCTTTGCTTTTAGAAACAGGGTCTCACTGTGTAGCCCTAGCTGCCCTGGAGCCTACAATCCTCTGGGCTCTAACTCCTGAATCTGGGGATTACAGGCATGTGCCACCATGCCCAGCTAGGACTACAAACTCCACCACTCCAGATCTTAGCCTACAGAGTAGCGAGGATTACAGGCATGAGCCACTCGCTCCCAGCTGGAAAATGTCTATTGCTGCAGGTTCTTTCTTTCTTCTTCTTTTTCTTATTTATTTATTTGTTTGTTTGTTTGTTTATTGTTGGTCCTGAGGCTTGAACTCTGGGCCTGGTTGCTGAGCTCCTTTGGTTCCAGGCTAGCAGTCTACCACTTGAGCCACAGTCCTACTTCTGGCTTTTTCTGTGATTTAATTGGAGATAAGAATCTCTCGGACTTTCCCGTTTGGGCTTCCTTCGAACTCGATCCTCAGATCTCAACTTCCTGAGTAGCTAGGATGATAGGCCTGAATTCCTGGTACCCCGCTGCAGGCAATGTCCTCCCTGACTCATTCATTCCACCCTATTTATTACCCCCTCTGACGAAATAGCCTCGGTGACAGCCATAAATAAGATAATCGGGTAGACTTTATCAGAGTTGGAAAGTCAAGCGAGCAGGGATCATAAATGTGGGGGTTGCTGTGTGGAATGGGGGTGACTGGGGGGAGGTTTTTCTGAGTGACACCTGCAGGAAAGGTAGGAACCATTTACAAATCCGGAGAAGAAAAGTGATCTAGGCAGAGGGTTCAGCACGTGCAAAGGCCCTGGGGTGGGCATGAGCCCACATGTGGCTGGGACAGTGTGGTGGCTGGGGAATGGGGTGAGGGTGGGGGGGTTGGGAGGGTGGCATGGGGCTCAGACAGATGAAATGATAGCCAAGATCACACAGCTCAAAGTTCAGGGGGAGCCTTTAAAATCACAAAGTCCACCCAAGGTTGGTGGCGGCTCACGCCTGTCATCTTAGCTACTCAGGGAGGCTGAGATCTGAGGGTGGAGGTTCAAAGCCAGCCTGGGCAGGAAAAGTCCAGAGGACTCTTGCTAAACTCCCTCCAATTGACCAGGAAAAGGCTGAATGTGGAGCTATGGGTCCAAGAGGCCACTAGATGGCGCCTGGGACCCAGATTGCTCCATACCTGGCCCAGGTGTTTCTTCTCTGCCCTTTGACCTCTTCACTCAGTCCGCCTGTCCATTAACGACGCCTTTCTCTTTATCTGTGAGCTCCACCAGAGAGCCATAAACAATTATGAAGTACTTGCTGTATAACATACCCGTGCTGGACAGGCCTGGGACTCGGGCAAAACATAGGCCTTAGCTATACACTCACCCCTGTAATCCTAGCTACTCAGGAGGCTGAAATCTGAGGACTGTGGTTCAAAGCCAGCCTGGGCAGAAGAGTCCTCGAGAAACTCTTTTTTTTTTTTTTTTTTGTCGGTCGTGGGGCCTGAACTCTGGGCCTGAGCACTGTCCCTCAGCTCTTCAGCTCAAGGCTAGCACTCTACCACTTGAGCCACAGCACCACTTCCAGCGTTTTCTGTTTGTGTGGTGCTGAGGAATCGAACCCAGGGCCTCATGCATGCTAAGCAAGCACTCTACCACTGAGCCACCTTCCCAGCCTGCCCAAATCATGAGATTCTTATCTCCAATGAACCACCAGAAAACTGGAAGTGGCACTGTGGCTCAAAGTGGTAGAGAGCTCACCTTGAACAAAAGAACTCAGGGACAGCACCCAGGCCCTTAGTTCAAGCCCCATGACCACCACCACCAACAACAACTCTGGTCTTTAGAGCACCCAGATCCAGTGGGAAGACACTCGTGAAGATTAGTGGAGACACTTCAGTAATTTGCGGGGGGGGGGGGGGGGGGAGGTTCATTCTCTCTCTGAAATAAGAGAAAGTTTTTGAAGCGGGGCAACGGTGGCTCACGCTTATAATCCCAGTTGCTCAGGAGGCTGAGATCTGAGGATCACAATTTGAAGGCAGCTGGGTTGGGAGAGTCTGTGAGAGTCTCATCTTCAAGGAACCACCAAAAAGCTGGACATGGAGCTGTGGTTCAAATGGTTGAGCACCAGCCTTGGAGAACACAGTGGTGGCTGGAGGCCATGAGGAGAAGGCCTTCCAGCCCAGTGAAGTTCATTCATTGTTTTTGTTGTTGTTGTTGTTGTTTTTGCCAGTCCTGGGGCTTGAACTCAGGGCCTGGCCACTGTCCCTGAGCTGCTTTTGCTCAAGGCTAGCGCTCCACCACTTGAGTCACAGCGCCACTTTGTTTTCTTCTGCGTATGTAGTACTGAGGGCTTCATGCAGGCTAGGCAAGCGCTCTACCACTGAGCCACCTTCCCAGCCCCATTCATCTGAATGCATCTGTGAGGCTCCTGTGTGCCAGGCAGGGGACACAGTGCTCCCGCCTGCCCTGCGGGTGCTCTGGACCTTGTGTGGGAGGGGAGACCAGACGGGATATGCCTATCTGGAAATGGCACTGTGAGCCAGGGACACAAATACCACAGGAAAGGAGGCTGGGGAGTCAGATAATTAGCAGTTTTAAGTGAGATGGCGCTCTGTCTGACCACTTGGGCTAAACCCCAGGGGAGAGCAGGCATTGAGTTGTGTGGTTCTTTGGGGGTAGGTCAAGGGGCCGTCACAGCCTGTACAAAGGCCCTGGGGCGCGCTGGAGCCTGAGCATTGGAGAAGCTGAGAGGAGGCAGCCTGTTTGGCTAGATCAGAGGATCAAGGGGCAGAGAGGGGGAGAAGGAAGCATGGAGGGAATGGGGTGAGTCGGGGTGCACAGGGCCTGATGGGTTGATGGGAGGACTTGGGCTTTGACCCTAAGGGAGGTGGGAGCTGTGGAGGGCTGTGGACAGAGGGATCTGCGTTATATCCCCATAATACCTGGGCTAGAGCTGCAGGGAAAGCAAAGAAAAATAGAGCCCCTGGGCTGGGAAGGTGGCTCAGTGGTAGAGTGCTTGCTTCGCATGCATGAGGCCCTGGGTTCGATTCCTCAGCACCACATAACCAGAAAAAGCCAGAAGTGGCACTGTGGCTCAAGTGGTAGAGCGCTAGCCTTGAGCTGAAGAGCTGAGGGACAGTGCCCAGGCCCAGGGTTCAAGCCCCGTGACAGACCAAAAGTTCATGTGACCCCAGTGTCCAGGACAGAGGGTAGGGGAGAGTTGCATCTGGGGCTGGTGAGACCTGGCAAACACAACCAAACCTGCAGCCCTAGGGCTCAAGTGGAAATTCTGGTATACAGTGGGTAATTCTGTGTGTGTGTTTGTGTGTGTGTGTGTGTGTGTGTGTGTGTGTGTGTGTGTGTGTATGTTTTCTGGCACCAGGGCTTGAACTCAAGACCTGAGTGCTGTCCTTTAGCACTTATCACTCAAAGCTTGGCGCTCTACCACTGAGAGCCACAACTCTACTTCCAGCTTTTTGCTGGTTGATTGGAGATAAGAACCTCATGGATTTTCCTGCCCTGGCTGGCTTCAAACTCCATCCTCAAATCTCAGCCTCCTGAGTGTGTGAGCACTGGCACCCAGCTCCTGGTGGGTCATTACATGTATATATGGAAACTCGTGCAAGAGACAGAGTCACACAGAAACATTATTGGTTCATCTAGGTCCTGTTTTTGTTGTTGTTGGTCCCGGGGCTTGAACTCAGGTCCTGGGTGCTGTCCCTGGACCTCTTTGTGCTCAAGGCGAGCACTCTACTGCTTGAGTCACGGCACCACTTCTGACTTTCTCTGTGTAGTTTAATGGAGATCAGAGTCTCACAGACTTTCCTGCCCGGGCTGGATTCGAACTGCAATC